AATTAAGTAGAAGCTCTCTACTACGTACTACTCGTAAACTAATAGAAATATAGAGATTATTAATTAATATCTTAATTAGTGTCTACGTCTATTTATTAACTACTACTAGAATAATTAGTTAGACCTTTTACTCTATATAGATTAGATATAAGCTACGTTACTATATAAAACTATAGAACTAATAGTATATAAAATTAAGTTTAGATATTAGCTAGTATACTACTAGAATTAGAAAAAGTATATAGTAAAAGTCTCTACTCTACGTAAGTATCTCTTATGCTAGAAAGCTTAGAATTTTACTAAGAAGTAATACAACGCTATAAAAAAAGCTACTAAAATTATATAAGGTAATATTATAAAAGCGTAAGTTAGATAGATACTTTAAGTAAATAAAAAACACTAAGAACTTAATTTTACTATAGGCGATCTTATCTATATTAAACCTTATAGCTTTTTAATAAATTAGTCTAGTATAAAGCTAGATTAATAGATATATAGCTCTTACTTAATTATTACTATAAAAGATTACTTCTTCTAGCTCTAGTTATCTACGTATATACGTATATATAACGTCTTTTACGCTAATTAGTTAAGAAAAGTCTTAGAGCTATTACTAGAGTAGGTAGAGCCTAAGTAGCTACCTATTAAAGTTAATAGTAATCTAGAATAGCTTGTATATAAAATTCTAGATAGCTATCTTTATTAAAATTACCTTTAATACTACGCTATATAGGTTACTTATAATTCTAACTCTACCTAGTATAATACTATAAGCTTTATTAACGCTCTCTATAAGGTAAGAGACTTTTATATAGTATATCTAAATAAGCTAGAGCTACTATTATAATTAAATACTTAGATTAAGGCGTATAAAAAAGATAAGACTCTAGAGAAGATAGTAGAGAATTTAAAACTCGTAAGAGTAGAAGACGCTAGAGTAACGCAAAGGCGCTACTAAGTAATTTAGAACTCTACTAAGCTTATAGTATTATTTAAGAAGAGAGCTAATAAGAAAGCCGCCCTACTAACGCGAAAATAAGCCTCTTTCTCTCTAGAGAGAAGGTAGTAGCTATAAAAGCGCTTTTAGTTTAAAACTAATATAAATACACTTACTATAAGCTAAAAGAGATAGTTAAGAGTATAACGTAGAAGTTTTAGAAGAAGAGAGACCTAGAAGACGTATTTTAGAGCTTAGAGATAAGCTCTCTCTATAAGAGAGAGTAATATAATAGTTTAGTTTAGAGATTTACCTTAGGTTACGTAATCTTATTACGTAATCTAGCCTAGCGTCTTAGCGCTTAGTACCTCTATATATAGAGCTTCTTAGAGCCTTTTCTCTACTTCTTATCTTTAGATAGCTAAATTTAACCTAACCTACTCTACTAGCACTCTATTCTTATAGCTTGTAGAGATAGTACTACCTATAGCTAACTTACCTAGCTAGATATTCTAGAACGCTTATAGTAGTAGAAACTACAAACCTAGCCCTTATATAAACTAGAAGGTAGTAAGAGTAATTAAGAAAGCTAGCTATATTATTAGATTTCTACTACCTTATTCGCCTAATTTTAACCTAATTAAGCTTACCTTTAGAGTTCTAAAGGCCTAGATCTACTATAACTACTACTATATATAGTAGCGCTTTAATAACTTTAGTAACTTTCTAAGAGACTTTATTTATAAAAGTTACTATAATTAGTTTATAAAAAAGTACTTTAAGCACGCTACTAATAGCTTATATAGAATAGAGAGCTAGAAGTAGCTCTAGAAGATACGTAGAAAGATATAGAGGTAGTAATAGAGCGTAAAGTTATTAGAAGAGCTATTAAATTTATTAAGTTAAAAATTTACTACTAAGTAAAGTAGTAATATAGTAAAAAATCTTAATTACGTAAAGTCTATACTCTATAATTATTATTAACTTAACTAGTAACTTTACTATCTATAGTATTTCTATTACCTATACTTATAAGCCTAATAGTAGTAGTAGCTACTCTATAGTACTATTTATACTTCTTTAAGTTATCTTATAGGTATCTAATAACTCTATTCTTTAGTTTAAAGCGCTTACTAACTATAATCTTATAGAGCTCTTCTCTAATACTTAATATCTTCTTAAGATCTTTAATAGTCTATTTCTCTAATATTACTATATCTTAAGCCTACTTATAGTTCTTATAATTATTCTCTAGCTACTAGTTAATTAGCTAGTTAAAAAACTCTCTTACTATTACTCTTATATTCTTCTAGCTACTTATAGAGCTTAAACTAATAATAGAAAGAGCGAAGGCGCTATCTAGCGTACACGAATACTAACTTAGTAGAGGTAAGTAATACTACTATAGCTATTAAAGCTATAATATAGAAGCTAATAGAGCTATAGAATAAGTAGAATAGCCTATTTAGAGCGCTATAGGTACTATAGACTAGCTAAATCTAATAGCGCTTTACTATAACTAAATACTCTTATACTAGAGCTTAAGTAGCTCGTGTTTTTTATTACGCTAGTAAGCTTTATTAATAGCTCTTTAGCGCTTCTTCTAGTACTTATATTAATTAAAGTTATACTAGAAGTTACTTTTACTATTACTTTTATTACTCTCTAAGTTGCTATAATAGCTACGCTAGCCTTTTAAGTACTTTTTATCTCTCTAACGCTTTAGCTAGTTACCTCTGCTAGCAGAGCTCTACTAGTAATTAATAAGAGTTATTAGCAGCGTAAGAAGCTTACTCTAGCTAGTAATAATTACGTTTACCTAGAACTTTAAGTTAGTAGCGCTAATAGCGTAGTACTTATAGTTAAGCGTTACCTAATACTAGTTTCTAAAGTTTATATACTTACTATTATAGTAGAGCTAGTACTAATAAAGACTTCTCTTCTAGTTCTACGCTAATAATAAGCTCTCTACGCGCTATATAGCTCTTAACTTATTAAGAAGCTACTATTAATAGCGCGTTAGCTTTTCTAGTTATAGAGTTACCTTATCTATATTAGATAATAGGTTATTAAATAATTAATTATACTTAAAGGTCTTTTTAAGAGTCTTAGCCTTAACGTATACCTTAAAGATAATCTCTATAAGCTAAACGCCTAGTAATTTACTAACTTAGTACTCTATAGCTTTAAAAAGCTTATTCTTCTCTATCTAGCTAAAATTAGCTAGCGTTATAAGTATTTTCTATAACTTTACGTCTACTTAAAAAGCTACTATATAGCTCTTAAAGTTAAACTTACGTCTACTAAGTTAAGCCTCTAGCTACTCTAATATATTATTTATAACTTTCTCTACTATATTAAGCTACTAAAAATAGTAATTATACCTCTCTAGTAGATAGTAAATAGTATTCTTACTATTAATAATAAGCTTATAATCTACCTCTAGGTTAAACTTCGCTTACGAAATTAGTAATAATAACCTAGGTAGTAGAGAGTAAAAAGACTTATACGCGTGTAGCGTAGTAGATAATAGTAGTAATAGCGTACTCTTAATAGTAAGGTTAATATAAGTAGGCTCTACTAGTAGTAGTAATAATAGAGATAGAGTCTACTACTTATTTATAGTATTCTATATACTAACTAGAGTAAGAGTAGTCTAATTAACTACTAGAGTAGATATTACTTAAGTTACTAGAGTACTATTAGTTATTAGCTACTCTATCTAGTAGACTCTTCTACGCTACGTGTAAGTTATTAGACTCTTACTACTTACTAGGCGCTCTTTAGTACTCTTATAGGCAGCTATAGTAGCTTTCTTAGAGGCCTTCTTACTACTCTTATAAGCTGTACGCGTCTTTCTAGCTACTCTATTACTCTTAGTTTACTCTCTAGGCTATAAGAGAGCTCTACGCGCTCTCTATAGGCGATTATTACCTATTTTAACAGACTACTCTACTAAAAAAAGCGTTAGTATAGCCCTATACACGTATTTATATAGCCTTACAACTTACTAATAGTTATATAACGATTAATTACGGCGTTATTAATTAATTCACGGATTTCTGGATTTTGGGTGGGTTTCCCCGCGCGCGCGCGAATTTTCAGGTGTCGCCAAGATTTCCACAGATTTATGCATACGATAGATTAGTCAGGACAGCTAATTGGAACTCCACACTCCACGCTGTTACCGGATAATCTCACAACTCCATGCATCCGGCATCACATTCGACTCCCTAGTTTTCTGCTGGCCAAGACTTTAGCCGACTCGCGTCTTCTCTCTTTGGACAGTCGTCGATGTGAGGCGCAAACACTTCAGCCTCAACTGTCAAAGTCAACTGAGCGCCTCACACCACTGACATAATTATCCAATCGAGTAGCCTCATGAAGAGCAAGTTTGCCCATTTTCGTATTCGGCTCACATAAACATATGACGATGGCGGCGTGGCGACCAATTCGTCTTCCGAAACGTGTGGACCTCGTACGGTAGGGCTGGACGGCATTCCTACGAGGTCGTTCCGTCGAACGAGTATTCTCTCCGGCCATGGAAATTCAACTTTTCATCATACAGATGGGTATTCCGAAGTTACTCTCTTCGACACTGCAAACGTCAGGATTCTCGCCGGTGAGCATGAACCTGTCTCGCTGGCGCTTAGCTCTTCTCGGTATTGAATGAGGCCGTGGTCGAAATTTGGCATGAGGCTGGACTTGATTGAGTCTTGGTTTTCCTTATCTGGCGTGGAAGTGGCTTCTCGCAGACGACTGAAGAGGTAGGCTTTTTCTGCATGGCTTCTTCACACCACTCCTTCCTTCCAATCGCTCTTCTTCGATTCAGAGCGTCAATCATCCTATGTCGGCATATTGCCAGAATCCGCTCAGGAGAGAATCCTCCAGCCCACATAGGCGAGCATCGAACACTATGATATAGGCTTACGCTGAACCGAACGGCACTATAAGCTATGTCATTCTCTGCATAATCTGTTGTGCTTCTTGCATTCTGGTTTAAAGCGCTGGCATTTCTTTGCGAAATCACATAGCCTGACCTTCGACGTAATTGCTTGTCAAAATGCGTATCCCCGCAACGTCCATCATCGTCTGCCTCACGCAGCTGGCAGCTGCAACTGGTCCACACATACTAGTACCCCATCATCGCCACTTCTGGGATCCATCCGTCCCGAAGCCTTGGTATAAGAACTGCACGGATACTCCGGCCAATGTCACCCTGCAAGATCAGGAGCTCTTACAGTGGATGTCGGCAAACTGTTGGTAGTGTACGCGGTCAATCTGGAGTCATCTAATCTGAGTTGCAGATTCCGAGACAACAGCCTACGTATCTGTTCAGATTTGGCCTCAGGACGGCAAGAAGATAATTGATATGGAAAAGTTTGCCTACGAACTTGAGTCCGCGACTTGCATCGAGGCGTTCTCTTTACGTTTCAAGACTACGCCAGCTTTTCAAGACGCCAAGGCGGCTTGGGAGACGGTGAACAGTGATGAACAGAACTCCTTCTTTCTAGTCGCCGATACCGAGAAATGCGCAACGGATGAAAGAGCTCCATGGATGATCACGCATGCCACATTCGACGAAGCAAAGCGCATGACCAGTCTCCAGGCTATCAAGAAAGAGTGGGCAGAAGTCATCCAGTCGTACGTGATCGATTTTGGAAACGTTGACACCGCGCCCCAGAAACGGGCTGTGTTAGTCGACGAGTCCTTTACCGTTCCCTTGGATTGGGCTTGGCCCAGTGAACTGCTGAAGGTAGACGACAACCCCTTTTTAAAATTGAAGGCCGACTGTATCGAATGCGGCACCAAAGGGTCACTAGTGTTTGCTGCCCATGTCGAGGGGGATATCATCAAGGGCTTAACTCAGGCTCTCTTCTCTGCCACACCACGTGGCATAGAGGGTAATGTCAACATCGAAGTGGAGTTCGATGGCCATTATGAGTTCTTGGGAACCGAGGACTTCGCCAGCAGATCTTTCGAACTCGGAAGAATCCCGGTACCAATCCTACTTGCCTCGCTCTCAGTACCCGGCTTTTTCACGTTTGGCCCGAATGTATTGGTTAAGGCGGGGTATGATTTGGAGTCCATCAAAGGTCAGGCGAAGGTATCGGCCGGCGCCACGGCCACAGTTCCACCTGGATCAATCCTATCAGCCGAACTCATCTCGAAGCAGGTCAAATTCGACGGCTGGCTTCCCGAGTTTAATGCCCAACCTCTAGAATGCGAGGCTGAGATAAATGTCCAAGGACATATATGGGCTGGCCTAGCACCCAGCATTAGTCTTCTCATGTTCCGTGAGTGCTCAAGTCAAGTTTACAGCGATCGAGGACGCTGACGGGAGGCTAGCATCCAAGAACGCAGGCTTAACAGATATCGTCATCCTCGAAAAAGGGATAAGCCTCGATATCGAATTGAGATTCCTGGAGCTCACAATCAACGCTACTTCGGGATCCGGTACGCATTTCCCTTCCACGTTATTTCACTCGAATCAGTGTCTTACCCTGTTCTTGCAATGCTGACTATTTGAGAGATCCCTCAGGCTTCTGCCCGAACAATCCAGCCCCATTCGGAGTAAATCTTGATGTCTGGCTTGGATCCAGTCTTACCATCGAAGGCTGGGAAAGTTTGCGCGGCAGTCGTAACGATCTCCTCAATGTGGAAGTCTTCAAAAACGACACGCTGTATCACCTACCACCTGTTTGCTTCGCATTTGGTACAGCAAGCCCTGGGTCATGCAATGTTCTCCTCGAAGACGAGGAAGACCGAGTGTGGTGGGAGAACGAGATCGCGAATCCTGCCGAAGTCACCCTTCGCAGGATGGGGCGGATATGACGCGATCAGTTCTTCCCGCGTGCCTCAAGAGACCCGTACTATCTTTCATGCGACAAGAACAGCAAGAGATGGCCAATACGGCTTGACGACTACCCGAGTGGTCCCAGTCTCATAGAAGCTGGCATTCCGAGCACTACGAGCGTTCCCATACCGCCGATCATGTATCCTCTTGTTCTATGTGCCGAAGGTGACGAGACAACTTGCGCACCTTCGCAATGGGCAGTAAAAGTTCTCAAAGCTAAGGATGAAGGCGACCAAGCTCTCATAAACACGAAGAACTGGGCTGGTAAGGAATTCCGACTCTGCAGCTGTCCCGATTACAGACGCTGACATTCCACAGCTGAACACGTCTACGAAGGCAACTGGGTCAGAGACTACTGGGGAAAACTCGCTGAAGAGGAGCACCTGAAATCTTGCGACAAAGTCAACGCAATCTTCGAGATAAAGAACGACGACGGTTTTGCCAGTCGGATGCTATCGAACCTTGGCACCACCAAGACATTCCTGGACTTGATGACCCTTCTGCCTGAAAAGGAGAACCATATCAAGTACCTAGTAAGCTTTGTCCTAAATATGCATTATGCACTAGAGTGAGCCTGCCTAACCTTGTGGAACTCCCAGATGTTCGCCGGAAAGAACCTTGACGGCAAATTCAAGGAGGCTAAGGACAGCGGCGGACTGCCCAACACGGCGATAAAGCGTGCCTGTAGCCTCGGTCGCATCGTCGGGGTATGCCAATACATGAAGGCGCGAGAAACGAGAGACAGTCTGCTGGAAACAATAAGGCGTCTGCACAGCATTCTGTAAGTATTTTCTGATTTCCTTTGTTGCCTGGCGATTTCCCTTTGCTAATGATCGCTTCAGAGACGCGATGGACGATGATCCCAATGTAATCGGCCAGACTCCCGCCGAATTCAAAGGCTTCGCATTGGCTCACGAGGAATGGTTCATCGGCTTCTACAAAAATGGCATCAAGAATGCGCAGACGAGATTACAGGACTATGCTAACTGGATGATGACTAAGAGAAAGGCAGAGTATGAAGCTTTGGGACGAGATTTGCAGACTGCAATTCGAGAGCTCGCCGATGGCAGCCAGTGGGAGAAGTACTGTCCTGACGCCTTTGACTATCCTGTTCATGCGTAAGTGTAGCCCCGGATACTCCATTTTAGTGCTTACCATCTCCTAGAACAACCCCAACTCGCCCCGGCACATGTCCTGCGGATACAACCTCCGATCCGAATAATTGTGGGATATGTGGTAAGAAAGTAAGCACACGATGTTCTTTCGCCAGCATACACGGCGGCGATTAGCTTACATGTGTCCAGTGCCCCAATGGGCAGGCTTGCACGAACAGCGAATGCACGCCGACGCTGCCTACGGGTTTCCCGCCGCCAGTGACGCCTGCTGGTACCGCCAAGTGGGGTTGGCAATTGGCCATGGAGGATCCGAGCCCCTATCTCGAAAACTCCTGGACTCTCAAGAAAGACTTCTTTCTCGAATACGACGGTAAACTCACCGTAAACACGCGCTGTGTCGGTGTCCATGAGCCAGAGTACGAAGTCCTTTACACCCTCACTCAGGATGCGCTATTCACCTTCGGAGCTAATCCGAGTGTTTCCTACAAGGAGGCAGATACCTGCTGTATCGCGTTCTTCAGAGGCTCGACTTGCGATGCTAATGCGGAGGAGCCCCAAAAGGTCTGCCAGAGTTTGGGGAGTGGGAAGATGGATTTTGATGCGAAGGCTTGGCAGGTGTATAACTGCAAGGGACTGTGGGAGGAGCAAGCTACGTGACCGCGGCCTGTGGAGTCTCCCAGATGCCCTGTCTTGCGCCGCTGTTTCGTTTCTGATATTGCTATCGTGTGTCCTAGCAGAAAAGACACGAGTGGAGTGAGACCTTTGATACTTCGCCTGCGCATTTTCTCATCAGGCCGTGTAACCACCCAGGAAGCAGACAAATGGGAGAAAGCATATTGACGAATGTTTGAAAGAATGCAGGGTTTTGGTACACACCTTGGAAGGGTCATCGGCGGAATCCTTCTCGTACCATCGCATGACACGTAATCGCAAGACAACTTCTAGCATAGGCCAGAGCTAGCCATGAAAGAAAATGCCGCAGTGGTCAGAACTGAGCTCACCATTATGAACACACCACGGGATGGGGCAACTGAGTAGAATGTCAGCTTCGAGCTAAGAGGAGTAAGTAGTCTAGGTGTTCTAGAAGCTGATCTACCCACAGGAGCACAGGCGCGACCGCAGCGCACGGACATCTATCATGATGTTTTGGTTCTTCCACTGACGGGCTATTCTGATCTACCGCCGGAGCGGTCAAGCAACGAGGTTGAGATGAATGAACGTGTGCGCCCGGCAAGGCCGCAAACGTGGGGTTTACTCATGGGCTCATGGCGCTCGAGACTGCGGCGTCGGTCCCTCTCGCCGCGAGACCGGTACCGAAGGATCCGCGCACTTCATCACTAGGAGACACAATGGGCTGAAGATCAGGAGATAATGACGCGACTGCTGTTGTGATCGCAAAAGGCCACTGAAGCCCTTGTTCTAGGCTGGGTATTCGTCCTTCCGCGGAAACAGAGTTCCTCATGCTGACTGGTTAGGGAGACTCGTCCGGGGGGCTGCTGTAACCCGGATGGTGAGATCGTACGATGGATACGGCATGACCATCTCGCGCACGCGGAGACCGGCAGTACTCGTGAACCGCTGTTCCTGGAATGTATGGAATTTTAGCAGCGATTATCAGCGCGTTGATCCGAGATATCTGCGTGAAGCTTTTGCAGAGCCCGAGATCAGCTCATATTGCTGTTCGGCTGCGGGATGAGTCTGTCGTGCATGTTTCCCACGCTGTGATCGCATAGGCCCCGGCATTAGTTTGCGAGAATTGGCTCCTCGTTTGAAGGAAGATCTCGGGCGAGGGGTGACAGGTGCGCTTCTGGAGTTCGTATAGACGTACCGACAATGAAGATCAGATCATTGCAACGCGACCTAGTAGTCTAGGCGTCGGAATCCACCGAATGTTCCTCCCAGCAGGAGGAAAAAGCGACTGCATCTGCTCGCAGACGAGCTGAATGCGTGTCTGGCCTTTACGCGGGCGGTAGAGATAATGACTCGAGCTCGCCTAACATTGAGTAACAGCCTCGCATGGCAGCTAACAAGGCTGGAATTGATGAAAGTCGTACGATGATGGCGCCTTGATGGAAGGCTGAATGTCGTCCACTACCGGTATGCACTCTTCTTGGTAATACAGGTAAGGCGGGCAGCGGAAGGGACCGAGCGGCTATATCGCCCCGAGCAAGATTCACTAGAGGCCTCTCCCGACTTTCGGCTTTCCATACACGCCACAGCTCAACCTCCCACATATCGCTCGGGCATTTATCGGTGTGTTTCTGAGGCTGCGGCTTCCAGGCCGCAACGTACGATCTTATCCGATGGTCCAGCCTTGCCCACAGGAGCTCTAGAGGGACGGAAACCGGCAACACCTGCCCGAGGGTGACGCGGGGGGAAGCTGAAAGGACGCCTTCATGCAACAAGTTCTCTCTTTACTCTTAACAGCATTGGAGACGGGGTAGTTGAGGTAGCGAGCGGCGTGGAAAGAGACTTGAGGTCAATCCAGCCGTCGGTCCAGACCGTTGCCAAGCGACCCACTCATGACAAGCGCAACGTTGCGTGCGGACTACGGCGCTGGTGTCGGTATAGATCGTTCGCGCGGCTCTCCATGAGTCTAGATTGTAATAGCGATGTGGAAAGGACGGTATGGGAATGTTGTGGGGTATGGCATTTTGCCAAGGGGAGGCTGGCGTGATGCGAAGGAAGGAGCGAGGCTCCCATAGGAAAGAGCAGATTGCAGCATCGTACGAGAGCACCCGCAGATGCAGATTCCGAGGCGGCGGCCTGGATGATGCATCGATGCTCGGCCCGTTTCGCGGTTAGAATTGAAACGCAGGAAGCATGGGTTGGTCAGCCGATTTCTCGATCGCATCCCGCGATGGCGACGAGAACATGCCACCACTCTCCTTTCACAGCGTTATTGACGGCCTGAACTGGGGCCATGCTTCGCCGGCAGTTGCTGCTTGAGCAATAAGCGTTCCTGGAGATTCTGGGGACGGCGTTGTGATTTTGGGGGTGTATGACAGGTGTTGTTGCGCTTAGAGGGCCTAGACGCATGCTATATGCAGTCCCCGGAAACCGCGCTTGCTGGAATCTGATGCCAGCCTATCGACTTTAGATTCCCTAGTTTGAGGACGCCGTGTTCCTTTGAATGGGTCAGCAGTGGCTTGAGACATTGCGGTGTGAAGTTTGCTGGTTGAGTGAGGTTGAGACATGTGGTTAACTTTGTGATGGTTTACCGAAAAGGCTAGCCTCGGATCTTCCCTCCCCCGAGCACTACTGCGGACGAAGGATCATCAGACGAGTCTACAAATAGGCTAACGGAAATAAGAAACATGGAAAAGACCAAGAAGAAAGCGCGGGAAGAAAAGGTATGGCTACAGTTGATACCTAAAATCTCTTAGCGGTGTGATGAAGATCAACGTGGACGTGCTCGAAGCGTGCTCGAAGCGTGCTCGAAGCGTGCTAGCGTTGCGCATCATTACTGTTCGTGAGTATAGCAGTGTATACACAGTAAACTCCGATGATGAGCAATCGCATCATCCACATTAGCATGGACGGCGCATTCGCTGCGAACACTAGATAAGCAGACGCGAAAGAGCATTCACTTGGGCCGAAAGTCCAAGACAAGGCGGCCGCCACGCCTTCCAACGCTCTGCGGTCTAAACTAGCGTTCGGACGGGAGACTTGCGTCTGAGGCGTGGATGGCGATTCGCTAGGCGGCCCTTCTATACCGAAATGTACACCGAAATGATCGGCCTATTAAATGCGAGTCGCCATTTGCAGTCACTTGGCCTAGAGCCGAAGGTTGTTCGATGGCTTGCATGTGCCGCTGGTGAAGACGCGAGAAAGGAGCACAATGCGCCCCATGATAAAGCCACAAATGACTGTCCCCGCCGATCGCTGATCCGAATCGGCCCGGAGTCGAGTACGGGGGTACACCACGTCCACACGCGATGTTGCTCGTATCCTCCGGCTCGCAGGTAGTCTACCTATCGGACGAGCATCGTGAGAGCGCAACGACGGCACCTGCAAGACTGCAGCCGCTGACGTGCGCCAAGGTCGTGACGGAGGTGTGCAAGCGCGGGCTGGGAATTCTCCGACGGGTTACGTCTTTTCTGCTACACTTCTGCTGTCACGGACAGCTTGCGGACAGTTTGCGGACAGTTGTTTTTGTCAGCGAGCTGTTGTCTGCTGTCCCCCGACCTCTCTCCACAGCACACCACCAAAGCGCAGCCCCCGAAGATGCTCATTTCCACACGCCCCTCGATCAGATAAGGGCGGCCAGGCGGCGTGCGGCGGCGTGAGGGTTGGCTTAAGGGGCCACGCAGCGGCTCGCCGAAAGGGCTAGCGCCGCAGCTTGTACGGGGATTTGGCGATTCTAGACTGGGCGGTCCCGGTCCAGGCGTGATGCACTCTATTCCCTGCCACGTAACCGTGTAAGCGTGTCAGGGTCTGCCGGGAGACAGCCCCAGGCCGATCACGAAGCTGGACGGCTCCCGGAAACGCGCCGACTGCCAGAGTGCGCCTTTCTTTCCCGTTGTGCAGCTCTGTGGCACGACCAGCAACAAGACCCTCCGCACAAGCTTCTTCTTCTTCTTGCGCACCGGCGGATTTCGGCGCCGTGCTGCTGCTGCCGTCGCTTTGTCTGCGCGTGCGCCGGGAAGTCGGAGTAGTGAGCAAGCGCAGAGGCCTTGCTCAGCGCTGGGACGCGTTCTAGATCTCCTGGGGGCCTGGGGGCGCAACTGCGGCCAGCCCTCTTATGCGCGACTCCAGCAGCAGTCGGCCTCCGCTCACCAACCACAACGCCGCGCCTCTTTCATCCCTCGCACTCCTCCCCTCTTCCAACCCGCACCTGCGACTGCATTCCTGCCCCGGCCATCCCACCTCTGCACCACCATGAACCGTTAGTCAGCCGTCTCCGAATGCAGCCCTCCAGATTGCCCGCCCTGCTCCCAGCGTGCTACTCTCCCCGCCGCGGCTAGATCCACTGGGCAGCTCTCCGTCACATCAGGCCACTATCCCGGCACAGTCTAACCTAGTCACCCGCGTGGAGCCTCTTCTCGACCGTCAGTTTGCATGCGGCCCTAACAATGGGGGACATCGCCTTCGACCCCAGCCCTGTCCCTCCCGATATAATCGAACGCGAATCCCTCTGTCTCTCCCTCCCAATGCCAGGTATGGTCGTGCACAGCGGCCACGACGGTTTCAAGGAGGAACTGCTTCGACACTACAGCCCCGCCGAAAGTAACGCAGCAGAGGACTTGGTCAAGCTCAAGGACGCCCTACGGAAAGCCGACACGGAACACTTCTGGCTTCTACTTACCGAAGGCTTAGCACGCATTGCCGACGCACAGTATGCTTTCGTCTCGAAGAGGATTCTCAGAGACGACAAGGACGTCGCCGTCGAGTACCCGCCCATTGGAGAGAAGGGAGCCTGTCTTATAGGTGCCGCTTTCTACGTCAACGACGGCCACGGCTTCACGGCCCATATGAGCAACTTCAAATACCATGCCTACTCGTGTCCCTGTGCGTACATGAAGCATGACAAGATCTTCGTTATCCCGGAAAGACTCAACGACTTCATCGTCGACAACCCCAACCAGCTCGTCATCCCTGGAGAGGCGTACCTTGGAATCCCACTGTTCGCTGAAGGGAAATGTTTCGCTCATTTTGGCGTTATGTGGGGCAAAGAGGGGGCTGAACGCCGCCAGCTAGGCTGGGGCTATTTGGAGATGTTATTCCACGGTCTCGAGGATTTGATCCTGGAGCGTGTGCTGGAGGGCAAAAGCTTCGCCAAGTCCGCAGAGGTGGTACAAGAACCTCTTCCGCAAGTTATCCCACACGAAGCCGTCTCGCTGGCGCAGTCGTTAAAGCCATATGCTCGAAGTCTTTCACATGAATTGAGGACGCCAATGCAAGGCGTGGTGGGCATGCTCGATGTCATGATGGCGAATGTCAAGGAAGTTGCCGAGGACCAGCGCCATCTACATCCTCGGATACGAAAATTGCTCGATACGCTCAAGGAGAATATTGAGCAGGTTCAAGGTCAGTGCTTATCTGCTGGACGGAGGTTGATGCGGCGACGGCCTCGTGAAGACGCAGCTGATTTTGTAACAGACAGCTCAAGACGCGCGGTCGAAGCCGCTGACAACGTCGTCCACGCCTATGACATGAACATGGGCGTCCCGGAAACCCCTCTTACACCCCTGGACAAGGAAGCCTCGAGCTTGCCCGTATTCGTCCACGAAAGGAGAACAGACATACCGGTCACCGGCAACACCTTACCAATCAATCAGTTCCGAGCAACGAAACGAAAGAGAGATGAGATGGCTGCATGGACAGGGCACGCGCGAGTGGCCAGGGCCGCTCGGCGGAGAATCCGACACTCCTTCTCCGAAGAACCACCCTCTTGTGGGTCAGCATCCGACCTTGTCAGGAGTGCTACCAGTATCGACATGTTTGAGAAGGCTTTCTCACATGGAGCTTCGGTAATCCACTGCGACAGCGACTCGTCAACGTCTCCCATGTTCGCTTCGGAGCATTCCACCGCCCCGGGACTGCGCCATACAACCTTGCGCGAGGTGCTTCAGTACGTTATCAATGACGCATTGAAGGTCGGAGGACGCCCAGAATCTGCAATCGCCGAAGAGACACATCTGGGTGAAAAAATCGAAGTACGGACAAGAAGTTCCAGCGGCCGCGCGAACACGAAGATTATTGAGTGGGTGGTATCGCCTGATGTTCCCACAACCATTCTCATCGACGAGAAAGATCTGGCAAAAGCGATCTCCTGCGTGATGCTGAATGCCATCAAATTCACGGATAATGGGTCCATCACATTGAAGGCGACTCTTAGCGCCAAGGCCCGATACATTGTTATCAATGTCAAAGACTCTGGATCAGGCATCCCCGCGGCTTTCTTGCCGAATTTGTTCAAGCCTTTCTCAAGGGAAGACGATTCCACGACGCGGCAAAGCGAGGGTCTTGGCCTAGGATTGATGGTCGCGAAAGGATTAGCAAGAAAGCTTGGAGGCGACCTCTTCTGCCTTCGATCGCACGTCTCCGGCCCGAACAAGGGTTCAGAATTTGAAATGCGTGTCCCTCTCACGCCTGGTGAAGTATGCAGCCGCCCGGCCTCACCATTCGGGTCTCCCAGTCCTTCCGTTCGATCACGCCACTCGGCCGATGTCGACGTACCACCCGCCGGTGTCCCACAACCCACCACTCCACCTCCATTTTCGCACCTTCTGAAGTCTAACAACGACGTACCAGACAGCTCTTCTGTCGCAAACACTACGTTGAAACCCCTCGCTTCGTCACATCATCTCGGTTTACCCACCCCCACCCACTCCGCCTCGTCCGCTCGTCCCCGCGCTGCATCGAAGAGCAGGTCCATGTCGCACAACATGGAGTTCGACAGGAATCTAGCTGGCATTCACCCCCTGAACTTCCTTATCGTGGACGATAACCGCATCAATCGCAACGTACTGCGGCACATGTTGAGGAATCTCGGCTACTCCAATGTTCACGAAGCGTACGATGGCAACGATGCAGTCCTGCAAATGCGGAAGAATGCTCAGCATCCTCGGCACGACACTATCAATATTATCCTCATGGATCTGTGGATGCCCCTCCTAGATGGTTTCCAGGCCACGGAAGCGATCATGAAGATGGACGAGGTGCCGAACAAACCTATCGTTCTCGCCGTCAGCGCCGATGTCACCGACGCAGCCATTGAGCGCGCGGCGAAAGTTGGGATGAAGGGCTTTCTGACGAAGCCGTTCGTGATCAGAGATGTGGAGAAGTTGATACTCCAGCATTGCGCCGCGATGAACGCCATCCCCGAGTAGGGTTTCTCATTCTATGTGATTTTTTTGGAGCGTCCACTCGGTATCTAATGAGCATATAACGCAATCGATATGCGCACGGAAGTGCCTTCGGGCCTTCCTTTCTTCAGCACATATAATTGGGTCAATGCATGGTCATTGTTGCATAGCGATTCGGCGTTGGCGCCTTCCCGGGCTTGTTTGAGGATATCTTTGATACCCTTTGAAGATGATGTGGATAGATGGTATGAGTGAATGCGATTGGTGATATTCCTCCTTTCCGAACGTCGTCGGCCACGATGTGTGATGCATGCTTGTTATTATATAAGGTGCATCTTCCACGCTTGATCTTTATCGAGTGCGAAGCAGGAGGCGCATGCAACCATTGCACGTCATTCTGGCGCCCATCCAGCGTTGCTATCCAGGCACAGGACGTTGAAACAAAGTTCAGTCGCAGAAGCGCAGGTCCCGGGCGACGGAGGCTCTTCATCGATCGGAGCGCACAGTGCGGGATCAGCATGGTGCGGTGGGGTTGGCCCTGAATCGCGGGGCACCTGCGAGTCCGGGTGTTCCGAAAACGGCGAAACCGCGTCGGAGCATTGTCCTCAGGCCTCCGCATCCCTCCTCGCAAACAGAGTGCGCACAGCAAAGCGGATAGCCTCGAGTGACAGAGATCGCAAGGGTAGAAGCACGAGGGAGCGTTTCGGCAGGTGATTTGCGCTGCGTGCAGAAGGTGGCTGGGTCTATACGCTTGCCCGTCTCGGCATAGCGTCATAGCTTCGGCTCGCGGTAGGCCCAAGCTTTTGAGGACAGATTTCTTGAGCTTCAAAAGTGGCCGAGAAGATTCCAGACTTGAGCCGCGCCGATATAACACGCGCATGCGCCCCTCTCCAAATCCTCGGTCTCACATATACGGTCGCAATTGCAGCCCTACGTGCAGTCACTACCGCCTCGACGTCCGTTCCGCATCCCACCCGCGTCTGCTATTCAGCCATCGGTGATTAGTACGCAAGTGCCGACGCACGGTGAAAGGCAAGAGTGGGGCTTTTTCTGAAGCATGGAGAATGCGTTTGCGAAGACGCCTAGTGAGGCGCTGAGGCATTTCGGAGTACGGGAAGAGAGGGGGCTTTCGGAGAAGCGGGTCGTGGGCTTGCGACAGAAGTATGGCAGGAATGGTACGTTTGGATGATTCGTAAAAGAGATCGGATAGATGCTAATGCAAGGGAACTACAGCGCTACCAGAAGACCCTCCGACGCCGATATGGGAGCTTATACTGGAGCAATTCAAGGACCAGCTGGTTATAATATTGTTGGGCAGCGCGGCCGTCTCGTTTGTGCTGGCGCTCTTTGAGGAAGGGGATGATTGGACTGCGTTTGTGGATCCTGTGGTTGTAAGTTCACCACTTTCAGCCAGAGACTATCTCGAATATGCGCTGACTGGTCCCTTCTACTGCAATAGATTCTCACGATCCTCATATTGAACTCCGTAGTAGGCGTGTCGCAAGAAACCAGCGCCGAGAAAGCTATTGCCGCCCTCCAAGAATACTCTGCCAACGAAGCGAAAGTCGTCCGCGACGGGAAAATCAAGCGCATAAAAGCCGACGATTTGGTACCCGGAGACATTATCTCGGTCGCGATCGGAGACAGGATACCAGCGGACTGCAGGATATTGTCCATCCAGAGCAACAGCTTCAACGTGGACCAGTCGATTCTTACTGGCGAGAGCGAGAGCGTATCCAAGGACACAAAGGTAGTCAAAGACGAGAATGCCGTCAAGCAGGATCAGGTCAATATGCTGTTCTCGGGCACGACGGTCGTTACGGGACATGCGACTGCGCTGGTTGTTCTGACGGGCGCGAATACGGCGATTGGAGATATTCATGAGAGCATCACGGCGCAGATCTCGCAGCCTACGCCGTTGAAAGAGAAGTTGAATGATTTTGGTGATATGCTCGCGAAAGTCATTACGGGCATTTGCGTCCTGGTCTGGCTCATCAACATCCGGAACTTCAATGACCCGTCGCATGGGAGCTTCACAAAGGGTGCGATCTACTACTTGAAGATTGCGGTTTCTTTGGGCGTGGCTGCTATTCCGGAAGGCCTTGCGGTTGTTATCACGACATGTCTCGCTCTGGGTACCCGGAAGATGGCGGCGAGGAACGCCGTCGTTCGGAGTCTGCCATCAGTGGAAACCCTGGGAAGCTGCAGTGTTATCTGCTCGGACAAGACGGGAACCCTGACTACGAACCAGATGAGCGTCAACAAGATCGTCTTCATCACAGAGGATGGAAAAGGCCTTGAAGAATTCGACGTCGAAGGAACCAGCTTCGCTCCCGAAGGCGAAATTACCTTCCAAGGGAAGCCTAGGGAGAATTTGGCCGCCTCTTCGTCTACTGTTCGACAGATTTGCGAAGTCACTGCGCTCTGCAACGATTCGGCTTTGTCTCTGGACCCCAAGACCGGGGCATACAGCCTCGTCGGCGAACCGACGGAAGGCGCTCTCCGTGTCCTGGCTGAGAAGATTGGTACCCCTGATCGCGACTTCAACGCACACCACGCACACATCCCTCCTGCGGATCGCCTCCACTATGCTACCAAGTACTACGAGGAGAAGCATCCTCAGTTGGCGACATACGAGTTCTCCCGCGACCGGAAGAGCATGTCAGTCCTGGTGAAGGACACCAACTCTCAGAGGCTACTAGTCAAAGGTGCGCCGGAGTCTATTCTGGACCGATGCACGCATGTCATTGTCGGCGAGAATGGAAAGAAGGTCCAGCTTAACAAGCAGATGGCTAGTCTCATATCTAAGGAAGTTGTCGACTACGGCAACCGCGGTCTCCGAATTTTGGCTCTCGCTTCGATTGAAGATGTCGGTTCTAATCCTCTCCTGAAGACCGCTAAGACGACAAAGGACTACTTGAAGCTTGAGCAGAACATGACCTTGATTGGTCTTGTTGGTATGTTGGATCCTCCGCGCCCCGAAGTCAAGGCCTCCATCGCCAAGTGCCGCTCCGCTGGCATTCGGGTTATCGTGATTACTGGCGACAACCAGAACACCGCTGAGACTATCTGCCGCCAGATTGGTGTCTTTGGGATGCATGAGGACCTTACTGGCAAGAGCTATACTGGGCGAGAGTTCGACAGCCTGAGCGAATCTGAGAAAGTAGAAGCTGCAAAGGGAGCCTCGCTCTTCTCTCGCGTAGAGCCGACCCACAAATCCAAGCTAGTCGACCTCCTTCAGCAAGCCGGCCAAGTGGTCGCTATGACCGGAGACGGTGTCAACGATGCCCCAGCCCTGAAGAAGGCAGACATTGGTGTCGCCATGGGATCCGGAACCGACGTCGCCAAGCTCGCTGCCGACATGGTTCTCGTAGACGACAATTTCGCCACCATCGAGGGCGCAGTCGAGGAAGGCCGCTCCATCTACAACAACACGCAACAATTCATCCGCTATCTCATCTCCTCCAACATCGGCGAGGTCGTCTCCATCTTCTTGACCGCCGCCATGGGCATGCCCGAAGCGCTCATCCCAGTCCAGCTCCTCTGGGTCAACCTTGTCACCGACGGTCTCCCCGCCACGGCTCTGTCTTTCAACCCCCCTGATCACGATGTCATGAAGCGTCAACCCCGCAAGCGTGATGAAGCGCTTGTCGACGGCTGGCTATTCTTCCGCTACATGGTGATTGGCACTTACGTGGGTGCTGCTACCGTGTTCGGTTACGCGTGGTGGTTCATGTTCAACAGTGTGGGGCCACAGATCAGCTTTTACCAGCTATCACACTTCCACCGGTGCTCGTCCCAGTTCCCCGAGATCGGCTGCGAGATATTTGCGAATGATGCTGCGAAGGCAGCTTCTACGGTTTCGCTGAGCATTCTCGTCGTTATCGAGATGCTGAACGCAATGAATGCGCTGTCGTCTTCGGAGTCGCTGCTTACCCTACCGCTCTGGGAGAATATGATGCTCGTTTATGCCGTCTGCCTGAGCATGGCTCTTCACTTTGCCCTGCTTTATGTTCCCTTCCTACAGGGACTGTTCAGTGTAATCCCGCTGGACTGGAACGAGTGGAAAGCGGTACTCTTCATCAGTATGCCTATCATGTAAGTTTCACCCTTATCCTACAAGTACCGCGGGTGTCATGTTTGCTAACGGAAGTAACAGTCTCATCGATGAGGTGCTCAAGTTCATGGAGCGCAGGTTCTACATGGTTAAGACGGCCGATAAGGCGCCGTACGAACAGAACGGCGCGGCTGTGAAGCCGAAGGACGAGTGAAGGAAGCGCGCATTGCCGGAGTGATAGGAGAAATGGTCTGTACAAAAGATAGATCGGGGCTATATGATCTTGCATTCGCGGGTGCATTGTTAAAAGGGGGGAGGTATGCCGAATTCCCCACTCCGGGTGCGGGTCGGCTTCAGCGGGGCGTGGGGGTGTGTTTTGGGGGTGTCGTACGCATTTTAATGCATTGGATTGGCGTTGGTGGAATATGTGAGGTTCGTGTACGAGCGTGATAGACGTAGATAAGAACAATGCGATGTTTGCATACCATTCTCGTGCCCTCGGCGCATACTTGATATTCCCGCGGCTGAGGGTGCTCTCGGGTTACAACCGTGAGCCATTTTCACAGATGTCGGAATCACATATGTACCGTGCCTTTGATCCTAGCACAGCAGCTCTCGCAGGTCTGTTCGTCCTCAGTCTCCAGAACTGCACATATAACACTCGCTTGCCTGCCTGGTCTAAGCAATCATTCGCCTCTCCCGCTCGAGCCTAATAGTATTCGCTGGCTCCTCGACCGCCAGGCACTACTACAACCCGCTCCCGTTATTTTTTCACAGCCAAAAAAAAAATTCCTCGCCCTTCTCACGCTCTTCTTCCTCGCCCTCGTGGGCTACACGTTCGCGTCCGCGGGCAGTATCGCGCCAGACATGCAAGACGGGAACGTCGGCATGGCGATGAGCCATGACATGGATATGGACATGCAGGACGGGTTTATGGATATGCCCATGGACACAGACATGGACATGGAAATGGACATGAGCACAATGGACCGGCACATCACGCCTCGCGACGATCCCGTGCGTCTCCCCCTCCATCATAACACCACCTAACAATCCATCGATCAGCCCGAAACGGCCGACGCCGTCCACGCCTGCTACCGCGAATGCGGCTGCGTCGGCCGCGGCGCCAGACCCATCGCCGACATTGAGACTGAACGCGGTGGCGAGGATCCGTGTATCAAGAAGTGTAGGTGTCATTGGACGCATCGGCATTGGGTTAGGGCTGGTGCTAGGGGTATGGGCAGAGGCAGGGGGATGTGATGGGGAGGGGGAAGGGGAGGGATAGTACGGCGGACAGGGGGGTTGAATTGGGGAGGGAGAATTATAAAACATGGACTCTTCAGCGCATGTATCTGCGAACAAAAGAAGTTAAGTTGATTTACCGTACCGTTTGGGATTAAGCTTTATACCTCTTCTTGCTCAACTTTCTTCGCGCCCGTTCGCTTCTTCTAGGAAAATACTACTACTAGGTTTCCTCACCTGGCGCACGTCCCCACCTAGCGCACAGTTTCTAGAAAATCTTACCCGCCCCTAACTCTATAACTAATAGAGCTATACTAATAAAACTTAGAATATAAGTTTTATATAGTATAAAATTTAATAATATACTTTATTACTAAACTCTCTATATTACTAAACTCTCTAAAAATACTAAGCCTCTACTAAAAAGCTACTATCTTATTTAGATTACTCTAACTCTAAGCTGCTTAAGATAAATCTAGATAAGCTATCTAACTTATCTATATTATTTTTAACTATCTAGCACGTTTACGTGTTATACTCTAGCTTACTACAGCGTCTATAGTATTACTAAGCTAGCTAGCTATTACGTGCTACTATAATAGTTCGACTTAGCTCTAACTTAGTACTTCGGCCTAACTCGGCTCCGCCTAAGTTATATAACTCTGCCTAGCGCCTTAGCATAGGCACTCTATATATATAGAGAGCTCTTAGAGTATTCTTCTACTTCTTACCTTTAGATAGCTAAATTTAACCTAACCTACTCTACTAGCACCTCTTATTCTTATAGCTTATAGAGATAGTACTACCTATAGCTAACTTACCTAGCTAGGTGTTTAGAGACGCTTATAGTAGTAGAGACTGCGAACCTAGCTCTTATATTATCTAAAGGTTAATACCTCTTTAGCTAGAGATAGTAGTATAATATCTAGCTAAACTAAGTAGCCTTATTAA